TTTTTGTTGTACTGGGATTGGACCCAGGGGGTGCTCTACCACTGAGCTACATTTCAGCCCTTTTAATTTTTTATTTTGAGACAGGATCTTGCTAAGTTGCCCAGACAACTTGCCATCCTCGTACCTCAGCCTCCAAAGTAGTTAGGCCTCTTCCATTTTTTTTCTTTTTTCCACATTTTTTATTGGTGCATTATAGTTGTATATAATTATACAATTTATTGTTACATATTTGTACATGCTTACAATTTAATGGAATAATTTGGCCAATATCATTTCCTAGTATTTTCCCTTTCCTCCCTCCTCCCTCTTCCTGGTCTCTTTTCTCTATTCTATTTATGTTCCTTTGATTTTCATGAGATCTGCCCTCCTCACCATTCTTTTCTTTTCCTCACTAGCTTCCACATATGAGAGAAAACATACAACTCTTGACCTTCTGAGTTAGGCTTATTTCACTTAACATAATGTTCTCAAGTTCCATCCATTATATCATCCTGCAAATGATATAATTTTATTTTTCTTTATGGCCCTCTTCCATTTTCTAATGGGTGCCATACTCCCAATCTCTGCCATCACACTGACTTCTCCCATTCTGTGTCAGGTCAAACCTCTGCCTCACTCTTGTGAGGATATGTGTGATTGCATTTTGGCCACATTGAGATATTGAGGACAATTTTTCCATCTTAAGATCCTTAATTTAATCATACCTACAAAGTACCTTCTTCCATTTATGACAGATCCTAGGGATTAGGATACAGGTACTTTTGGGAGAACCATCATTTAGCCTACCGTATTCTCTCTTCACTTAAACCTTACACCCAAGTTCATCATTAAGTCCTATTAATTCTACTCTTTGAAGCAGCTTTCAAATAATTTGTTGCTTTTTCATTTCTAGGAGCCCCAACTTGAATTTAGCTTCCCCTTAGATCATGTTTATCAAACATTTTCACCACTTTCTACAGTAAGAAATACATATGAATTTATTATATATTCATATGAATATACATATATACATACACATCTAAACTGGAATAGAATTCACAAAAAAGTATGAACTCTTATAGCATAGGGTCCAGTATGTATTTTTTAAATTTGATTTTTTTTCAATGCTGATCACAGCCAAGTTGATTTCACAACTCATTAATGGATTATTACCCATAGTTAGAAAAAAAACTACCTTAATTACCTTTTGTGATAATCTCCTAATTAATCTCCTTTTCTCCTTTCTATTGTTCAGTTAAACTTTATCAATGATACCAGAGTTTTCTTTCTAAAAATATTATTTTTTCCCAGGCATGGTTGTTGCATGCCTGTAATCCCAGCAACTCAGGAGGCTGAGGCAGGAGGATCCCAAGCTCAAAGCCAGCCTCAGCAACTTAGCAAAGACCTAAGCAATTTAGCAAGACCCTGTCTCAAAATAAAAATACAAAAAGGACTGGGGATACGGTTAAGTACCCCTGGGTTCAATCCTTAGTACAATAAATAAATAAATAAATAAATAACCTGTTTTTATATCATTCTTCTAGATCTGAGACCTAGGCTCTCCTTTGCTTAGTAAAGACCTAATGTCTTAATGTCATAGTCAAAGCCATCTAAAAGTTTGTATCAAAAAACTTAAAAAAAATAGTTGGGTACGGTGATGCATACCTCTAATCCCAGCGGCTCAGGAAGCTGAGGCAGGAGGTCATGAGTTCAAAGCCAGCCTCAGCAATGGTAAGGCACTGAGCAACTACTTGGTGAGACCCTATCTCTAAATAAAATACAAAATAGGGCTGGGGATATGGCTCAGTGGTTGAGTGCCCCTGAGTTCAATCCCCTCTATCAAATAAATAAATAAACAAGATACTTGTACCACTGTATTTATCCCAATATACCATTGCTTTATTATGACTGTATGTATTTATTGATGTAACATTTTTCATGGAGAGCAGCCCCATAACATTTTTCATGGAGAGCAGCCCCTCCTATAATAGGAAAATCCTATAAGAAAATAAAGATTAAGAATGCCACATTCAAATGTTACGTCCCTCTCTAAAAACTTTCCTAATTTCCAGCATCATAATTACTTCTTTTCTTTTTTTTTTAAGAGAAAGAGAGGGAGAGAATTTTTTTAATATTTATTTTTTAGTTTTTGTCGGACACAACATCTTTGTATGTAGTGCCGAGGATCCAACCCGGGCCACACGCATGACAGGCGAGCTCGCTACCGCTTGAGCCACATCCTCAGCCCTCTTTTCTTTTCTTTAGAAGATTTTTTTTTTTTTTTAGTTGTAGATGGACACAATACCTTTAATTAATTAATTTTTTTATTGGTGCTGAGGATCGGACTCAGTGCCTCACACATGAGTGTCTGCCCACTGAGCCACAACCCCAGCCCTCATAATTACTTCTTCTTTGAGAATATTTATAACAGTCTACCTTGGATTGTAATAATAATTATCCACTTCATATAATTATGGTGAAGATTAAATGAGTTTGATTACATGAAGTACTTAAGAATTGTGCTGGTTCAGATAAAGTGCTCAATAACTATTAATCACTATTATAGTTGAGAATATGTTTTGCTCTTTAGATAGTGAGCTTCTTGAGGGCATGCATAACATATTATTAGTCTTTTCTATTCCAGATCCTTCCCCCCGCCCCCAGTACCCTTCTCAAAGTTGGCACTCCAGGGTCTGGAGGGAGGTGGAGCATTTGCCTACTGTGTGAAAGGAGGGTGAGTGGTAGAGTGCTTGCCTACTATGCGAAAGGCCCTGGGTTCAATCCCCAGCACCACCACCAAAACAAATAAACAAACAAACAAAACACACACACATCAAACTTGGCATTCTATATTTTTATAGTGTTAGAGGGAAGTGTTAACTATTGGAGCAGGCTTAAAATGACTCCCTCTATTCTGTTTTTTTCCTGACTTGTTGAATAATTTGTTCTTTTAGGTAATTAGTCATTTTATTCTCTGCCTCAATTTCTTTTAATGTAAGTATTTTGCTTGAGACTGCACTGAAACACATATTATGATAAATTATATGCTTTTCATTTCATAAAATCATGACTCATAATAGGGTCATGATTTTATGAAATGAAATAGGGTTGACTATGGTTTTTGACCCATATTCTAACTTAGGTTATTTGGTGTGTAACTCTCTGGAAAATTAAATTAAGAAGAATTCCCAGTCACGCATGGTTAGTGGTACACATTTGTAATCCCAGTGACTCAACAGGTTGAGGCAAGAGGATCACAAATTCAAAGCTAGCTTCAGCAACTTAGCGAAGCTCTAAGCAACTCAATAAGACCCTGTCTCAAAATAAAAAGTAAAAAAGGCTGGGTATGTGGCTCAGTGGTTAAGTGCCCCAGGTTTAATACCTTGTAACAACAACAACAACAACAACAAAGATTAAGAAGAAGAAGAAAAAGAATTCCCACAACTCAATGGCAAAGGAAATCTTGATCAATTATTGATGTCTGCTATAAACATGGAATGAGAGAATACAGATATTTGCTATACTTGACTCATCTCATTTTGGTTGTGCTTGTAATATAAATACTTCCTTAGTCAATGGTTAGGAAATACATTTTATCTGTGACTATGAAGCAGAGAAATTAACAGAACCATATAAAAGACTGAATTTATGCCTCTAGCTTGCCTGTTACCTCCATCCTTTCTTGAATATGATAGTTTATCTATTATGCTATGGCAGAAAGTTTAGAAATACATACATATTCCTATTTAACAGATGGTTTATAGGAAGAATAAACACAAGGACAATTTAGTGTACCAAAACTGGGACTGGAAAACTCTATGACATGACTATATCTACAACCATGACTAAAAAAACTATATATTGTGAGTATTAATAATCTCATATTAAGTATTAGAAAATAAGTTTTGTTTTCTTGTATCTTTGGCAACACAAACAAAACTATACTCTTCCAGGTTAGAAATAAATATAAAATTTGAAAGCCCTGTTTTGATTTCCATCATGACGTTGTATGAAGAAAACAACAGTGTTTTCCTTCTAGTGGTATCTTAACGTATGCAACATATAAAATAAGGAAAATACATAATCATGTTTTGCTAGAATGTGTAGTCTATTAATTTTGATATCATAATTTACCTATTTCCCTTCATGGCAATAAATAAGATGTTTTGAGCCCTTCATTATCATTGTATGTGCATTTTTAAATGGGAGTTTTATATATTAAGTTAAATATCTTTGAGAGTTGCATTTATTTATTTCCTATGACTTCATCATAATTGATCAGTCCATTTTGGAAGTGGTTCTGGGAATTGAACCCAGGGTAATCTTCCACTAAGCTACATCCTCATCCCTTTTTATTTCACTTTGAGACAGGGTCTAGATTAAGTTGATTAGGCTGGCCTGGAACTTGCAATTTTCCTGCCTCAGCCTCTCCACCTAGCCAATTATCGTATTTTGACATAAATGATTTCTCTTTCCTTTTTTTTTTTTTGGTACAGGGGATTGAATCTAGGGGCACTTAACCACTGTTCCACATCCTCAGCACCCCATTTTTTTTTTGTAGTTGTAGTTGGATAGAATGCCTTTATTTTGTTTTTTATTTATTTATTAATGTGGTGCTAAGGATCAAATCCATTGTCTCACACATGCTAGGCAAGCACTCTGCCATTGAGCTACAACACCCCCCCCAGTGTATTTTTAAATATTTTTTTTGTTATAGTTGGACATAATACCTTTACTTTATTTATTTATTTTTATGTGGTGCTGAGGATCAAACCCCGGCCTCGCACGTGCTAGGCGAACACTCTATCACTGAGCCAGAACCCTAGGTGCCATCTGCCAGCCTTTTTTATATTTTGAGACAGAGTTTCACTGAGTTGCTTAGGGCCTCACTAAATTGCTAAGGCTGACTTTGAACTTGCGATCCTCCTGTCTCAGCCTCCAGAGCCACTGGGATTACAGGTGTGTGCCACTGTATCAGGGCTCTTTTTCCTCTTTGGAGCACTTTCAGTATTAGGTTTCTATTGCACCATATCCTCCTGGTTTTCTCCTCTCTTTCTGACAGCCCGGTTTTGTGTCCCCAGCTTTTAAATATTGGAGTGCTGTCAAAACTCAGTTCTTGCATCTTTTCTCTTTGTTCTCTTCACTTGCTCCTCAGATTATCTCATCCAGGGTCATGGCTTTACCACATATATGCAGATGGCTCCCAAATTTTAATATCTACCCCTGAGGTCTTCTCATACTCCAGGTTCACACATTCAGTGTCTGAATTCCACTGTATGTCTAATAGATATCTCATACTTTTACGTGAGCCTCTGGGATTATAGGCGAGCACCACTGCACCCACTGATAATTTTTTACTCTTTTATATCCCTTCTACGGCTTATTATTTCTATAATTTTATGTTCTGTTACTCTCTTCCTTTATTCTCTCAGGTAACTTCTTGTGTTTTGTGAACAGTTTGGATGTGGTTCTGCTTACAAAGCCTTTGCACTTAAAGTTCTCTAGCTGTTTCACTGCCTTTGAGTATTTGTTTAGAAGTGACTTTCTATCTAAAATGTCAGCCTCTCCCAACACCTTATATTTCATTCCTTTTATCTGCATATCTCTTTTTTTCCTTCATACTGGTCATACCTTATACACTTACTCAATTTGTCTGCCCAACATTAGCTTCAGGACAGCAGGAATTTTTATCTTTATTACTCACTGTAATATTATGAGTGCTTATTATTATTCCTGGAAAATAGTTTGATAACTATGTGTTGAATGAATAAATTTTTGAATAACCTTTTTCTTTTTCTTCTTCTTATTTTTTTATTGTGCTGGGGATAGAACCTTGTGAATGCTAGACAAGTATGCTACTACTTAGCTATATCCCCAGCCCTTAATATGCTTTTGATTCTTCATGAAATAGCTAAAGAGAAAGTCTTCATTTTTCTATATCAAAGAGCTTTAAGGAATAATGTGTTATTCATAATTACATGGGGTATATTAGTTTGTGAAAGCTTCCAATACAAAAATCCCAGAGACTGTGTGGCTTAAACAACAGAAATTTATTTTTTCTTAATTCTGGAGGCTAGAAGTCTGAGATCAATTTTTCAACAGAATTAATATCTTCCGACACCTCTGTCTTTGGCTTGTAGAAGGCTGTTGGGTTGGCTTCTCCCTTTATATGGTTTTCCTCTATATATTTGACCCAGTTTTTTCTTCTTATAAAAGCTTCCTTTATATTGGACTGGGATACCTGCATGAACTCATTTTATCTCAATTAACTCCTTATAGGTCCTATCTCCAAATACATTCTAAGATAACTGGGAGTTAGGATATAAACATGAATTTTAAGGAAAATACAATTTAGTCCATGGTGTCTTATTTTCAGTGGTTAAGCCATTTTATATGAATTAGATCGTTCTTAAAATACCTTGTTTTGAAAGCTCAATGATTCTCAAGAGAATTGAAAATAATTTATTAAGTTAAATAAATTAAAACCAAAGTTATATGTGCCTGACACACCACATTATTTTTTGTATATGTGCCATAGATTAGGAACTTACTGAATGTTTTAAATAATTGTCCCATTTAATATTTATGTAATTATTATACTTACATTCTTATATATTTGATAAGACTGAGATTCAAAGAAGTTTGCTTACCTAGAGAATTTCAAGATAATTCAATCTGTGTTCTCACCATTGAATTATGTACATTACAAAATAGTATATCCACCAGAACCATCTGCAATGTCCCATTAAATTTGCTACTAGCCACATATAGCTATTAAGCACTTGTCTGGTGTGACTAAGAAACTAAAATTTTAATTAAATTTTAACTTTAATTAATTTAAATTAAATAGCCATATTTATCTTGTGACTGCTACATTAGATAGTCACAGAAGTTTTATTTTTTTAATATTTTTTAGTTGTTGATATACCCTTATTTTTCATTTATTTATATGTGGTGCTGAGAATTGAACCCAGTGCCTCACACATGCCAGGCAAGCACTCTGCCTCTGAGCCACAACACCAGCCCAATCATAGAAGTTCAATTTGTGAAAACTAAATATATTACTTATACAAAAGTAATCACAGTAGTTTCTTGAAATAGAATGAGGTTTCCTATATTTTACTAGAAGTCTTATTTTTTTAATTTGGAAAAATAATGTAAAATAACATATGTTTTTATTCAAATGATTCAAAAGAGATTACACTAATACAATGAAAAGTAAGTTTTGGCTTGGGGCTGTAGCTCAGAGGCAGACTGCTTGCCTGGCATGTGTGAGGCACTGGGCTCAAGCCTTATCATCACATAAAAATAAACAAAATAAAGGCATTCTGTCCATCTATAATTACGAAAAAACTTTTTTTAAAAAATTATTTTTCTGACCACAGACTCTGAGCTCCTTCCTAAAGTCAACCACTATTTCTATTTTCTATTTTCTTTTTCAGATAATTAAACAAAAACAAAACAGAAATATCCTTTTAAAAATTAAAAACAGGCATTTTCTTTTTAATCAAATCACAATGTAATTATTTAAAATATTGAAAAACAAAAAACATTTTTAAATGCTAAATTTATTTCATTTCTCTTATAATACTTCACAGAGTAAAGGGTAACTTTTTTTTTCTTTTCTCTTTTTGTAGTACTAAGGTTTGAGCCCTAGGCACTCTACCACTAAGCAACATCCCCAACCTTTTTTATTTTATTTTGAGACAGGGTCTTACTAAGTTGCCCAGACTGGCCTTGAACTTGGGATCCTCCTGCCTCAGCCTCTCAAGTAACTGACATCACAGGTGTGCACCACCATGCCCAGCTAGTAAGAGGGAACTATATAAATAATATATTTCTATTTTCCAGTGTGAGTTCTGATACTATATATTTAAACATATTTGAAACATACATGCTCCCCAAATAAAAGTTAACATCTTCTTTACTCTTATCCTGTAACATTTTAACATTTTACTAGCCAGGCATTCCAGATACCCAATCAATTATTTATTTATTTATTTATTTATTTTAAAGAGAGAGTGAGAGAGGGAGAGAGAATTTTTTTTAATATTTATTTTTTAGTTTTCGGCAGACACAACATCTTTGTTTGTATGTGGTACTGAGAATCGAACCCGGGCCGCACGCATGCCAGGCAAGCGCGCTACCGCTTGAGCCACATCCCCAGCCCTCAGTTTTAAATTTAATATTGACATGATGTGGGGTTATGGTTATTACAGTGCTTATCTTAGATAAATCAATGTTATTTACTACTTTGATTACCTATTTTTTTTGCTCATCAAATAAGGTTATTTGTTACATAAAACTTATTAAAACTTTATTATACTAGATTTACAACAATTATATGATTCTCGTAAACAAAATGCTTTCTTTCTTTTCACTACAGAAAACTTGAGGATATTGTCTCTAGGAAGAAACAACATAAAGAACTTAAATGGACTGGTAGGTTGTTATCTAACATTTTTAAAAAGGTACAAACTTTTTTTAATTAAAAAATGTTCATTGCAGAAGCTTTGCAGAGTAAAAAAGCAAGTTAAAAATATAAACCACTGACAATTTAAACACTGCTGACATCTTTTGCTTTTTACCTTTTTTCTGTTCTTCAGTGGGTATGTAGATTATGAAATCATATAATACATATTGTTTTGCACCTCCTTTTTAACTTAATTTGTAAAATTCACTTTGCCATGTCATTTGTTCAGCAAATTCATTCAAAATATTTCTTGAATGCTTACTTGAAGCTAGGCATTGATTGAGGCACTAGAGAGACAGCAGAATATAAAATAGTCCTTGCTCTCATAGAACTTAGATTATATGCAAGAGAGAGAGAGAGAGAGAGAGAGAGAGAGAGAGATACAAAAGATAATTGTATAATGCATCAGGTGGTGATGAATGAAGAAAAACGAGGCATAAGAGAAGATAGAATGATGCAAATTCTCTCTGTGGAAGTGAGATATAGACTATAAAGCTACAGAGCTGACCAAGGAGCAAGAGCACCAGGCTGAGGGGACAGCAGGTGAAAATGTCTTAGACCTGGTATCCTTGAGTAGGAGCCAGAAGAGTTGATTGAGGAAGGAGGGTGGTCCTCAGTGACATTGGAGAAGGAACCAGGGACCAGGCCGACAGAGATTTTATTTTATTTTATTTTCCCCAAGTGTCTTGCAAAGTCAGTAGAGGTTTCTGTTTTTATTTTTATTTTATGCAGTCCTGGAGATTGAGCCAGCTACATTCCTGGCTCTTTTTTATTTTTTGAGACAAGGTGTCTCTAAGTTGCTGAAGCTGGCCAAACTTGGAATACCTCTGCCTTAGCCTCCTAAATAGCTGGAATTACAGGTATGCAACACCGTGCCTGACTTCCATTGGAGATTTTTAATTAGAGAATGCAACCTAAGTTTTTAAAATAAATTTAATCATACCCCCTTTTATATTTTTAATTTTTTTGTAGTGCTGGGATCAAACCCAGGACCTTGCACATGTTAGGCAAATGCTGTACCACTTAGCTATACCCCAGCCCAGTCATACCGTTTTTTAACAATAGCCTAATATTCTTATTGATGTATCATAATTTATTTAAGTCAGTTACTTATTAATTGTGTAGTTCATTTATAGTTTGGAGTTGTTATAATCATTCCTGTTATGAATTTTCTTTTAGCTATATTAATGTACACATTCATGAATAATTCGATAAATTCTTTGAAATGGAATTACTGGGTCAAAAGATACGAATTTCTTTTAAGGCTTTTGTGACATATATCAAGTTGCCCTTTGTAAAGTTTGAAACAGTTTATATTCCTACCAGTAATGTTTGAGGTTTTCCATTTCCCCATACCAACCTTAGGCATTAAAAAAATTTTTTTTTACTACAATATGCTATTTATTTATTATTTATTTATTTAGTGTTTGTGGTGCTGAGGATTGAACCCAGTGCTTTGAGCATGTGAGGCAAGCACTCTACCAACTGAGCTATATCCCAGCCCTTATTTTTTTATTTACTGATTATTTCAACTTCCTTCCAAAGAAGAATAGATGAAACAGTATTATGAAAATAGGCAATTTTAGGAAAGATGAAGCTAATTTCTTTTTCTTGTATTTGTTCCCCAAAGGGTAATACTTTTAGAAAAGTGTTTATTACTAAATAATTCATAAACATTCTGAAAATTTTTTGACTCCTGTCTTCATGTCCCCCAGTAAGTCTAGCTTGTGCTTCATAAGGGACAGCAGCAGGTTGAAACTGCAGTGCTTCCCATCAATAATCTCAAAATCAGGCCAAAGTGGCCATCCCCCTGCAGAAACAGTTTACCACTCGAATAGCAGTCAGTTTTCAGAGGTGCAATTTTGGAATTTTCTTGGATTTATTAGCCATTCTCTGAATTATATTCCCACTCTGTGTGTCTGTTTATCCACATAAAGTGTTACCAGTAATTTATAAAATGCTCAGAAATTCTTCAGGATTAGATTCTGGAATTAAATAAAAGAAATTTCTTCCCCCAAACAATAACCAACAGCTGTATTGTTTGCTATCTAATTGGTTTGATAAGCAAAATTCTAAATGATCTATAAAAATAAAATGTTTTTTTAAAAGTATATTTATAAATTTAAGGATATTTACTTTTTCTCTATTGTCTGAGCCTTCATAACACCCGATTGTTGGTTCTGCTGTTTCCAGGATGTATCAGACATGTTTGAGAGGTGTGTGTGTGTGTGTGTGTGTGTGTGTGTGTGTGTGTGTGTGTCCAAAACCTTTAACACTTATATGTAAACTAAAGAGAAATAAACTGCACAGGGATACAGAAGTGAGACTCAAAATAGGTTCACATACTTAGTTGAATTATTCATCCAGACACATTTTTTTGATAGCTGAATCAGTAAACTACAAATGATTATAAAATGTGAAATTCTAAATTAAAAGAAAGTTATTCATTTCAGACTACTTAGGAAAACTGACTATTAAGACACAGTATAAGCCCATTTATATGTATGATCTGACCTATGCTTTCCTTTCCGGTCTTATTTCATAGGGCTTTTCTATTATTAATCTATAGCTACAGGCCTTATTTCACATCCTTGACCCTGAGAAGTCCATTCCTATCTGGGGACCTTTGTACTTGCTGTTCCCTTTGCCTTAAAAACTGTTAGTATGGATTTCCACTATTTTGGCTCCTTCTTAACCTTAATTTCTCAACTCAGATGTCACCTCCTTACAGGTGACCTAGCCACTCCACCTCCCTATATCTAAAGCAGTCTTAGGTCTTAAAATTTATTTTTTTAATATAATTAATTAATCTGAAATTCTTTGTTATCTCTCTTTTTTTATCCCTCTTATATATACTACACCCCCAATGAACATATCAGTTTTGTTCATCAGCATCTATAATAGTGCGTGATATATGTAATAGACACTCTATAAATATTTATTGGCTCAATGTTTTATTATAATTATACAAACTAGTACTTAAGTTTAAATCTTAATATAAAAGTGATATGTTCATTATAAAAATAAACAATTTATAAATATATTAAATATAATGTGGAAATCATTCTTCTTGAACTTCCCTACCACCCCCTCTAGGTCTATGAGATAATAGGAATAAAATTGTTTTGTAGGCTTTAACTTTTTTCTGAACACAGAAAAGTAAATAGGTATTTGTATGTGCATGTACGTATGTGTGTGTATATATACATTATATTGTTTGTACTACTAGCATACAAGGTATGTTTTTCTGTAATTATGCTTTTTTATCTAATAATATATCAGGAATATTCTTCCATGTCAATACATGCATATTTAATGAATACTTTTAAATAGTTGTATATTTTTCCACAGTATTAGTATAAAAATGTCCTTTATCACTTAATGATGGGGATATGCTCTAAAAAATGCAGCTAGGTTGTGCAAATATCGTAAAGTATATGTATACAAACCTAGATGGTATAGCCTACTTAAACTATATGGTATATACTGTCATGCATGGTTTGTCATTATCTGAAACATTACTACATGCGCATATCTGTATTTCTTTACTACTGGGCATTTAGATTATTTCCAGTTTTTTGTTTTTGGGGGGTTTTTTGGGCACAAATTTGCAGTCTCACCAGCAACGTATGAGTGTACCTTTTTCCCCACATCCTGGCCTACATTTATTGTTACTTGTATTCTTGATAATTGCCATTCTGATTGGAGTGAGATGAAATTTCAGTTAGTTTTGATTTGCGTATCTCTAATTGCTAGAGATATTAAACATTTTTTCATATATTTGTTGACTGTATTTCTTCTGTGAAGTGTCTGTTCAGTTCATTTGCCCATTTATTTATTGATTGGTGTTTTATTTTGTTTTGTTATTTGAGGTTTTTTTGTATATCCTGGAGATTAATGCTCTGAGGTTTAGGTGGCAAAGATTTCCTCCTATTCTGTAGGCTCTCTCTTCACATTCTTGATTGTTTTCTTTGTTGTGAAGAAGCTTTTTAATTTCATACCATACCATTTATCGATTCTTTTTTTTTAATTTTTATTTATTTATTTTTCTTTTTTTTAATTGTTGGTTGTTCAAAACATTACATAGTTCTTGATCCATTTATCGATTCTTGATTTTACTTCTTGCACTTTAGGAGTCTTGTTGAGGAAGTTGGTTCCTAAGCTAACATGATGGAGAGTTGGGCCTGCTTTTTCTTCTAGTAAGCACAGGGTCTCCGGGCTAATGCTGAGGTCCTTGATCCATTTTGAGTTTTGTATAGGGTGAGAGATAGGAGTTTAATTTCATTTTGCTACATATGGATTTCTAGTTTTTCCAGCACCATTTGTTGAAGAAGCTATCTTTTCAACAATATATGTTTATGTGATATAATCTTTATACTATAACTAGTAAGAGCAAGAGTTTAAAGCTGAATTTTATATCAAATAAATAAAATGAATTGATGGATGGATAAATTTGATAGGACAAGTTTAGCAAATTGCTTATAGTGGAAAGGTAGAAATGAATATGTGGGCATTTAATATAAAATTCTTTCAACTTTTTTGTTTATAATTTTTCATAAAAAATGTTGAAAAAACCCTGAAGTTTAGAGCTAAATGTATTACTTAATATCAGTATAATCTTAGAAAAAGACATGATAGAAATCAAATAATTTCCCTTGCTCCTTTGAATGTTATAAGAACCAAATTAATCTATAGGAAAGTAATGTGAAATTATATTATTCAATAAAAGTGATCATAGTGCCATTATTCCTCATTTTGGTGATTTCAGTAAACTATTCTTGGTAAAGAATATTTTGTAAGTTTTTGCTCAATGAAGCAATCAGAAGAAAGAGTTCAAATCAGTTTGAAGAAGGGAAGAGAATGCTCTGCTTCATTCCCTCAATAAAAAAGAACTTCCATATAAGAATCAGTGCTCAGCTCTCCTATAAGTGGACACGTGGGGACAGGTGGTTCTTTGAAAGCTGTTATCTGTTTTTAAGGAAAGAGGTTGGGAAAAAAAGGCTAAAAATAAGCATGTAAATCAGATTGCTTTCTTTTTCAGGAAGCAGTAGGAGAGACGTTAGAGGAATTGTGGATCTCCTATAATTTTATTGAGAAGTTGAAAGGAATCCATGTAATGAAGAAATTGAAGATTCTCTATATGTCTAATAACCTGGTGAAAGAATGGGGTAAGCTGAGAGCAACTCTTCGCTCACTTTATAGAAAATACTCAATAGGGAAAAGAAGCAAAATGGGAATATTTATTTCTAAGCATAGAAATAATTATAGGAGTTCTTATATAGGAAATAGCTATTGGAATTCCTAAATTTTAAAGGCAAAAATATCTATTTAAATATTTACTTAGAGTGAATATAATTGGGAAGATTCTGGTCCTATTAATCATGAAAAAAAAAATGTTATCCAAGGGCTGAAGGAATCAATTTAAATAATTCTTGGGTAGAAGACTAACTGCTTGAGTAGAAGACTATCTTGCTTTGCTTTTTTATCTCACGCTATTCATTCAGCATGTGATAAAGCTCTGTTATATTATTATAGTCCATGAATCATGCCAGACTCAACAGGCATGGTTGAATAGGACATTCATTCACCTCAAGGAATTTACAGCTTAGTGGGGAAAATTTATTTATAAGCTAATAATTATAAAACTATAATAAATTCTGCAGTAAAGATTTGAATTAGTTGCTTTAATAATTCAAAGATGAGGAATGGGTAGAGATAGAAAGCAGTTTAGCTTGGCCTACATTGATTCAGCACAGCATAAACAAGACTGTCATGAGATCAACTTGTTGTTATTTTTTTTTCAACTCTGATCCTCATCTCTTCTTCTTATCTCACCCTTGGCTAGCATTAAAGATAGAAGTTATCCTCAGAGAATAACTTCATTATAGTAAAATTTCCCTAATCTTTTTCAAAATCTTAAACAACTGACTGTCCTGAATAGTCACAAATTTAGGTTTAGTGATTTCAAGTTCAATCATCAAAATTAAAACAGTAAAACTTAACCTTTTTAATAAGGAAAGTGTGCTTTGTACTTGTAGCTGAATTTGTGAAGCTGGCGGAACTGCCCTGCCTTGAAGACCTGGTGTTTGTAGGCAATCCCTTGGAAGAAAAGCATTCTGCTGAGGGCAACTGGATTGAAGAGGCAACCAAGAGAGTGCCCAGACTGAAAAAGCTGGATGGTGAGTGATCCTGGGCTGGCTTGGAAATGCTTTATAGGTATAAAAATGGAATTTTTGGTATGACAAGGAGGAAAACTAAAGAAAATGATAGGTTGTCAGCCAGGCCTGATGGTGCACACCTGTAATCCTATAAGTTAGACAAGAGATTAAGGCAGGGGATTGAAAGTTTGAGACCAGCCTGGCCAATTTAGTCAGACCCTACTTCAAAACAAAAAGGGCTGGGGATGTAGCTCAGTGGTAGAACACCCCTGGGTTCAATCCCTCCAGTATCACAAAAAAGAAAATGAAAGGTCATCCCTAATCTTCAATACTTTGTGTCCATATGAAATTTAGTGGTCCAGTTTTAGGTCAGGGTGAGATGAAAAACTCCTAGGATATTTACATGGTATGAGATCATCCTTAGATTAAAAGCATATAAGTAAGCTAAGCTTATTCTCAAGTTACAAAAGTATTATTTTGTGGAATGATTAGACATAAATGATAAATAGTTGAGCTATTTTTCATAGTTGGGTCAAAACTTTAATGTTCTCTCTTACCCCCTCACCACTGCTCAATTTTAGTTTCTAGTCTCTAAGATTCATGTTAATATTAGTAGATACCCCTGACTGACTGGGTCAAGTCCAAGCTTCACCACTTAATAGCTTTTGTGACATTGTACTCATTAATGAATTTCACTAAACCTTGTTCATTTATGATATAAAAACTGGAGAATGGTAATAATAACACTAGTAATCATTTTAGAGTATATATCACAGTGGTATAATGATGATTAAATTAAATAATCAATTTTTAACATTGTGCTTAGCACAAAGTAGTATTCAAAAATTATTAGTATTATCACTTTAAAAAGATTTAATAATGCCAAAATTCAAATATATGAGAAATATTTTAGTTTATATGGACTTCATTTTGACTTTGAACATCTCCTCCCCAATTCACTTTAGCTAGACTGTTCAGAAATTTAGTCTGTCAGTCATTCTTAAGGTCTCTGAATTATGCCATCATTATAGAAACAGGTCATGTGAAGCATGGTCATAGGTAAACTGTCCGCTAAGGTTACTACCAAGGTATCTATTGTCCCCATTCCCGGGGCCCTTTCAGAACTCATCCTGCCTGCTCCCTGCCTCATCTATGCTCCACTTGGGTTAAGAAAGTGACATTTTTGGGCTGGGGTTGTGGCTTAGCGGTAGAGCACTCACCTAGTAAGTGCAAGGCCCTGGGTTCAATCCTCAGCATCACATAAAAATAAATAAATAAAGGTGTTGTGTCCAATTACAACTAAAAAATAAATATTAAAAAAAAAAGAAAGTGCCTTTTTGGGGGCTAGGTTTAGGGCTCAGCAATAGAGTGCTTGTCTAGCACGTGTGAGGCATTTGATCCTCAGCACCACATAAAAATAAATAAATGTCCAACTACAACTAAAAAAAATAATTTAAAAAAACAAAGTGTCTTTTTGAGAATGAAATCTTTGTGGCCATAGGATTACCTCCTGAGATAAAACAGACAATCCCTTCTGGGTTTATCTCTTCCCAGAGATGCTGTTAGGAAGCAGGGCTGAAATTCCTACGGTTTCATAACCTCAAGACCTCCCTCTCTTCTGCCATCCTCAGATGTTTGGGAAAAATCATCATCCCGCTCCTTATCCACATTATTCTGTATCCTCTCACAAATAGTATCTTCTCAATGTTTTCTGAAGCTTTTCAAAGACAAAAACAGTGCATTTTTTTCTGCTCTCCATACTCCCCATGAACAGTAATACACAGAGCTGACTAGCCTGTCTGGTTATGTGGATGAAAAGGAAATAATGAGAATAAAAGACTAAGTAATATCCAAGACACAGTGGTGGTGGTGGTGATGCTAACCATCATTATCATACTATGTGTCAAAGGCATCTTTGCCTTTGTCTTTACTATGAGCTTCCTGAGAGTCACAACCCAAACAAAGGACCTAGTTGTCTGTGCTTCAGGCTTCATTATCCATTATGCCTTCTCACCTCCTCACCTCCTCACCACCCAACTTCTCTGTGTTCCATCCTTTCAATCCCGTTTTGTCTTCATCCCCCCATGACTATATCTAATATATCTAATATATTAATCTAATATATCTAATGCTCAGTACTCAAAAAACATTTTATTCACCCCAACTTACTGTAGCAGTTGCTCTTAAATGGAGCTGCATCCCAGTGGAAAGACACTTTAGAATCTCTAGAAAGACAGTCAAGGAAAAGTATACAATTTGATAAGTTTTTTGTATATACATCTATGGAACCATCACGATAATTTACATAATGAACATGTGGCTTAGCCTCAAAAGTTTCTTTGTGCCTTTTTGTAATCCTTCACTCCTACTCCTTACCATCACCCCTCCCAACGCACTCACTGACCTGCTTCATGTCCCTTTAGATCAGTTTATGTTTTCTAGAGTTTTATATAAAAAGAACCATAAAGAATGTTCTTTTTCCCCATCTAGATACATACCTAGGGGTAAAATATAAAAGGTAATAGATTACCTCTTGTAGGGAGATACAGGAATAATCAGAAAGAAGCTGAAAGACTTCTAAGATACTACTAATGTTTTATTTCCTAAATTGGGTGGTGAGTATAATAATTAGTTTTATGACTGTTTATGCTATATTTGTGTGAATAAATATTATTAAATTTAAAAAGAAATTTAAAAGAAAAAGCTCAGTGGTAGAGTATGTACTTAGCATGTACACATTCTTATTCGTGATCCCCAACACACATACATACACACACACACACACACACACACATACACACAAATTCTTTGGTTGGACTCTAGAAACAATTTGAAATAATTTGTCTTTACTCCCTTTAGAGTTGCACAAAGGAAATGAACCCCTTCCCTTAAAAATGAAAGAGAACCCCCCATGTAGACCCTGAATAAACCAAGTCATGTTGTACTTTAGGGACCAAATAATGACCTTAGGCCAATCTGAACAGTTTCAGAAAAACCATCTTGGTCTTTCCTGAATCAAAGGGGTAGAAGAGAACAGAAATGGCTGTGGTCACTAATCTGCCTATTTTTGATACTCTTCTCTTGCTTATAAGCAAAACTGAGGAATCTTAAAAAGATAGACAATGCCAAATGCTAGTGGGGACATGGAAGAGCTAGAGCACTCACACCCTGCTAGTGAAACTTTAGAAAACTGATATTATCTACAAAAGCTCTACAAATACATCCTTTGTGATCCAGCAGCTTCTCTCCAGATATATACTCCAAAGAAAAAGATATGTTTCCAAAAGTCATGTATAAGAATGTTCATAGAGGGCTGAGGATGTGGCTCAAGTGGTATCGCGCTTGCCTGGCATGCGTGCAGCCCGGGTTCAATCCTCAGCACCACATACAAGAAAAGAATGTTCATAGAGGCACTATTAATAGCTAAAAATTGGAAATAACCCATTCGTCCATCAACAATAGAATAAATTATAGCATATGTATACAAGGGAAATTAAGCATCAATGAAAATGAATAAACTACAACTTCACACAACATAGACGAATCATACAAATATAGTAAGCAAAAGAAGCTGGACAAAGTATATATGATGGTCCACTGAGGGCCTGCAGATATGTTTTGTTTCCTCTGCAGGGGTTCAGTTTTGTTCTTTTTTTAAATCTCCAATCTTTAATAATTGGAGAAGTTCACAAAAAATTCAGATTTCTGGCACCAGAGGACATATTTTTTTTGTGAAAATGAAAAATATTTCTTTGTACTTAACATAGAAAATTGTTAATGTGTGCAGGGCTTACTTTATTTTCTTTCTTTCTTTCTTTTTTTTTTTTTTTTTTTGGCTCTTTTCAGTTTATTGCATGAAGGAGTTACACTAGTCCAAGTTAAGAGCGGACCCCAAATGGTTTCATTATACAAGCTGTGAGGTTTTTAAACTTGTGACCAGGGACAGAAGGGAAATTCTACTCACTGCAAGGAAATCCTCACTTAAGCTTCAGTGAGCCACAAGCACTTAAAACCCATGAACCTTCTTCAGCTGATCGTCCTTAGCCAGTCCAATCTCTACCAGGAACTGGCATATGTTCTTGCGCTGGTCACCCTGTAGCTGAATTACTTCTCCATATTCTGGATGCTCAATTACAGTACCATTGCAGGCAAATTTCTTTTTAAACGCCTTCACTAGTTTCTTTTTATCGTAATCAGCAGCGATCCCTTGGACAGTAGTAAGGGTCTTCCTGCTGTTTCTCTATTGAATTCTTATATGGATATAATCCTCAGAGCCAGCAGGAAGCAGGTCATCACCCTTACTTGCATCAGCAAAGGGGTTGAAAGAGTGGAGGTTCTGGATAGGCGACATATGATATGCGCAGGGGTGGGGGTGGTTGGGGGGACAGAGCATCTCGAAGCAAGGGGGCTCGAGGGGGAGGCTGCAGAGTCCTTGGTGGCAGCTCAGTGACTGGGCTACTTTATTTTCTGAAGACACTTGGTCATTTTTATTTGCAACTCTGCATTTGGGGCACCAACTATTCATAAGTATTTATATTAATCCACTTGTGGATTCTTCTGAAAGCCTTTTTAGAGAATTTGAAACTTAAGTGATCTTTTTAAAAATATTTTTTAGTTTTAAGTGGACACAATATCTCAATTTTATTTTTATGTGGTGCTGAGGATCAAGCCCAGTGCTTCATGCATGCTAGGCGAGCACTCTACCACCGAGCCTCAGCCCCAACCCTTAAGAGATTATTTTATAAAATTATTTTTATTATGGCACATTTCATAACATCTCAGACTTCCTTAGGAAAATATTTTCATTTAGAATATTAATAATCTGTTGAAAATGACCAGAAATAATTTTCTTTTCATTTTAGGTACTCCAGTAATTAAAGGGGATGAGGAAGAAGAAAATTAATGCCATATTTTCCACATAGTGTTAACTTATTTAAATGTAATGAGAACAATAGATAAGTTTTGTATAATTGTCTATTTTAAAGATTCTGTGTGGGGCAAAAAGTTCCTAAGCTAAAACAAATCTCTCCCCTACATCCTTTTAAAAACCTATTTGGTGTTGCTTCCCCAAACCGTGACACCAACTTTATATAGTCTAGTTCTTGTTTTCAAAATTACAAATTTTCCATCTTTGTCTTCAGTCCCAATTATATATTACGTGGCCCCATCTACTGATATTTGTAGACCAGTCATTTTTAATAGCAAAGGAACAAATGTTCTTTATTCAATTAGTTTACTATTTTTAGACTGGGCATTTTAAAAGATACACTTTTGAATCTGTAGAAGGTCCATCTCCTTACAACATGAACGTATCATGCCTTTGGTTTAGAAGGCAGCATGGTGATGGGAAGAGTTCCTCTCAGAACTGCAGCACAGCCCTGGAACCAAGTCCCAGTTGGAAACACTATGGTGAAAAAGGGAAGATTAATATCTTGGAGGCCTTCTAGCTCATGTTATATTTACTTACTTGCTTTTCCAAAAATGTGTACTTTGTCAACTGGAATTTAGGTTGTCTTTATATACATGACCACTTGAGTCACTGTGTACAATCAATCATTCTGTGATCAAGGTCAGTGGTTAAAATGACTCTCATGATCACTTCTTTGACCAGAAACGTGGCCATGTTACTCAGGTAGGCCTGATCTTAAGCATACTTTTTGGTTTATAGTTCTTTATATGTTTAAAGCAGTGGTCAGTAGTCCTAGCCTAAATATAGACCATTGATATACATCAAAATTTGTCCCAGTTATTTGGTCTAATGACCCCATTGTTATGGTTAGAAGGGTACAGACTTAAATATTGAATTTGATATTTCTCAATAAAATGAAGCTTAGTATTTCAAATATATTTTTTGAGAAGTTCTAGGTTAAACAGCTTGTAGAGTGTATCATGTAAGTGATTGTAGAGGGAAAAGAGAAGAGATGTTTCAGTATGGGATCCCAGGCAAATGGCAGTATGTTTGAGGATTGCCTTCTATATGAAGCATTATGGATGACTTAACCTCAAAACTGCAAAGCAATAGTTAGATGCAGAAATTAGGAGTTGTCATTCAAGAAAATTTTTTTTCTGGAAAATGCAAGATATTATCAGTAACCAGAGGAAGTCCATAGCAGGCCATGACTGAATCACTAATAAATTACAGAAGTCAGGGGCCCCCTGCCAAATTGTGCCTAAAGTCTCTCAACCAGAGACTGTTAATTCTTGTTTCCCCATCTACTTGTGTGATTTTATTTACATGAAATCACAGCGAAAGAGGGGAGACACTTTTTTTAAAAAGTGATTGAATAAGTAGCCCTAGGTTTCAGAAATTTACTGCTACAATTTAAGTAGGAATTACTTGGTTCTTTAAGAATCAGTCTGATCAAAAGGGACCACTGCTTTGACAATCAACTCTAAATCCAAACAAGAAGAATACTTAGTCTAACACTTTTTTAGCTCCTTTTAGCTCTTCCTTTCAATTTTTTTGGAAGAAACCTTTACCCTGACTGGCTTATACATACAAAGCCTTTGGCATTCCTTTTATGAACCAGACACATTGAACCTTCATTCTCCTTGGTGATGTTTAAAGCCTTTAAGCTGAGAGGGAAAACCATCTTCTTCATTTGTAGTTTGCACTTCATTCAGTAGGCAATCTGGAAGCCATGTTGCTATATATGGGTATATTTTCTAAAGGTTACTATAAAAGTGAACATAATAGAAAATGGATGACTTTGTATTGAATTTATGCAGTGGTACAGTTTTAGTGTTTGGTTTTTCTGAATTATGTAATACAAGAATTAATTTTCTCTTAATCTCCTCATCTTTCAATCACTGGTAGATATCATAGAAACGCAAGGTGGTTTATCCATTTCACACGAAATTCATATTCAGTTCTACTCAAGTCTTCCAATGACTTTTATGCATCCCTTTCCCTAGAATTAAAGCCAGAATTCATGCAGTTAGAAAATGGAAGTTTGGATGTATGAAGGTTCAGGATATTCTTTCAAATCATTCCTTAAATCAACCCTTACTGATGCAAATTTAGTTGATATTAAATGCCTTTGGTTTTATGCCTCTTAGATATTTGACCTAGTTGGAACAGATGCTATCTGTGCTCCTCTATTAGTGAATCATTTAAATTTCTTTAAATGATGGTAGAGCTCTGGAATAGTCTAGTATTTTAATTTTTCACAGTGAATTTTATTTTAGTCTATCAAGGAATTCAACGTTTTTACCTTCCCTAATTCTAAGCTTATGACTTACCCCTTGTCAGATCTTGAAACATAATATGTTCTGTTCATAGGCGTTTCTTCCTTTAAATCAGAGGTTCGCAGCCTTGCCACTATTTCCATTTTGGCCTATATAATTAATTGTTGTGGGTGGCCATCCTGTATATTATGAAAATATTCAGCATCCCTGGCCGGGATAGATGCCAGTAGCTCCCCCTTCCCAGTTGTGACAACAAAAGATGTCACCAGACTTTGCTATCTGGCCCTTGGGCAAAAAGTAGGAAGACATTCTCCTGTGGTTAAAAACCAGTGTTTTTTGCTCTGGTTCTTTTTGTCCCGGGTCCATTTATTTTTCATTCTAAGGCCATGTGCCACTGGAATTGTTATATGAGAGAATGTGCTGTTTTTAATAATGTGGGAGGAAATGGCCAGTAATGTTTTCCATTTTTGTAATGCTCATTCTCATAAGTTTCACATAGTATTAGAAACTCAGGGCTGGAAGGTTCAGCTTATCTTTTTTCAACAGGGTCTCAGCTTTTATTTCTTAGCATCCTTGCTTTTTAAGGACAGTGATTATTAACCTACCTCTCTGTTACTATCAACAGAATCCAACTTGTCTCTAAAGTTTAATATTTTGCATATACTTTAGAAAATATATAATCATTGTCTAATGCACAAATTTTTGCAGACTATAACCATCATTAAATACAGAAAAAAATATTACGTAAAATTTATCATGAAAATTAGGTTGTACAAACATTGATTTTGAGTGTGACCAGAAGAATGTCTGCCTGCTCATGGTAACTGGTCGATAACTTGGTATGTTTACTGGATCCATTCCACATGAAAAGGTTGTAGAAGACACTTAAATGTGGTTCTTGAGTGGGAATTTCCACTTGAATGAGTACTTCTGAAACTTTTTGCCAGTGGTCTGAAAGCATAGGAGGCATGAGAAATGAATCTTGAGTGTTTTCTGATTCTCAGAGTTGGTAATATGTAAATAGAGTTGGAATCTTCTACCTGGGTTTGTCTTAGAACTAAATGGAAAAGCATAGGGCCAGCTCAGATGGTTGTATTTAATCAATTGCTTTTAAAAATTGGGGAGAAGTGTCAAAGCATTGATCATGAGTAGTTAGTGCCTCTCTGACTGTGGTCAGACCATTAGTTCATTAAGACCTTATACATTGTTAAGTATTGGTAAAAGGAGAAAACTGCTAAACTGCTAGTTATCCCTTACCAGAAATTCATTCCTTTGAATTTGGCACACACTTTCTTTATTTGGGCTGTTTAATGTGTCTGTAAATAATGAAACAAGATTCAGTATAGCAGAGTTGGTGCTGCTTCAGACACAACTAATGTGACCACATTCCTTTGTCTTTACTCCAGCATGTCTTACTGCTTTCTTTTTGTAAAATTATAAAATAGGTGAAATTTTTTAAAAATTAAGAATTATATGTTTAAAAACACTGAACTTTTAGAAATATCTATATCTCTATTCCTACCTACTTGTGACTATAAAGGAAGGACACTGAAAGGAAGAACTAGACTGAGTCTTAATCTTCTTCTAAGACAAATTGGTAAAACTTCACTCAACACTTGAAGTCCACAATTGGATTCTAGCTAATATCCCATATTGGGCAGATTAGAGGGAACCAACCAAATTATGATCTAGCAAATTTAACTTGGGGGTGGGAGAGAGAAAACTATTTTTCAATAGATTTGCACTTTAAAATTATGAACTGGATGTTAGTGGAAAGTACTTCCAAAGGACAGGTGGATAAATACTTAACCTGTACATAGAGTTAAGAGAATCAAACCTCACCCTTGCTCATTCTAAGCCCACATGAGCAGCTGCTGTCTGTCTGTGTAATCAGTCAGGATTTCCCAGTTTCCATGCTTGGGTCATCATCTTCCATGTCTGCTACATCTGAGATCATCCCTCTGAGGATGTGTCAAGTAATTCTGCTCAGATAGAAACTTTGTGAGTTATCTTTCCCACATCTAGTTTTTAAAAATTAATTTAGATGTTGACTAAATGAAGTTGTGGCGAAGTTTTTCTGAGGTGCTACTGCCTCAAGGGATCACTCCTATCAAAAGACTGGTGAATTTGAAGCTGAAGAGAATCTACTTATAGCCAGCTACTTCTCCCAGGTTATGTGTTATGAGTGTGAGCGTCATTCTGGTCTTTTGCTTCTAGAAGCCACTCCATTCTGAACATTTTGACATCTATTAATACTCCAGTAATAATCTTTTATACATGGGAGTTTTGTAGCATGACTTTATGACTAAACTTATTGTGTGTTAAATTATTTAGAAATATTGAGTTTCTGAATGTTATTTTGTGAGACTTGTTTTAAAATAGTAATAAATTGTGTTATTTTATAAATAGTGTCTTTGTTATGTGATCATTAGTTTTAGCTAATTAGGGCAACTGTAAACTTCTCATGATACTCACTTCTGAAGAAATTCAGATTTTGGATGACATAGTCCATGCAGCTGTGGATTGGGTGGATGGGTGGGTGGATGGGTGGGCGGAACAGGAAGTGGCTTAAAAGGAGGAAAATGGAGAGAGAAAGAGTGACTGTCTCATTTCTTCATGCCTAACTTTTTTCTGGTCATTTAGTACCAGTGATAACCTCCTTTCCCAGGTTAATAAATCTTTATTCATTTCAAATTTTTTTGGCTCCTGGAAAGAGTGCTTCCTGGGAGAGCAAATTACTACTGCAATTGACCATTCCTGCCCTTGCTTTACTTCCAGAAGTGCACAAAGTAAAGCTTGAGGTGCAAGGACAACTAGCAACATCAGTAACATTACACATTTTGTCAGCATATATTCTTTGCTATCAGGCAAAATATAATTTTGGTCATAGAATAGACTGTGGCACAGTCTCTACCTCTTATTCCATAGTTCTTTGATTATGCAAGATTTTTAAATTTCTAATTTGTTCTAAATAGCTATATATGACAACACATTTTGACACACCATACATAATTGGAGTATAATTTATCATTCTTCTGGTTGTACATGAAGTAGAGTTACGCAGTCATGTAATCATATATGCACAGGGTAATAATGTGCAATTCATTCTATCATTCCTGCCCAGGCCCCCTCCCCCTCCTTTCACTCCCTCTGTCTAATCCAAAGTAATGAGGATGTTTCTTGCTGCTATCCCTTCTTAAAATTTTCTGAGCCTACAGTTCATAGCATAAACAGCTCAGTTTCTAGTTGTTTTTTAAGAACAAAGGATGGGCATCTAGGATCCTGACATCATTTTATTTTTATATATTGCAATAAATATGTACATGTGCACATGTAGACACAAACAGTTGTTACATATGATTAAATAAAAGGAGTCAGACCTTACCTCCTAGGATGTAATTGATTTTGCAGCTGTAAAAAGACACAGGGCTGGTTGTACACTTGCAATTGCCTAGAATGTGTAAAGCCTTGGGTTTGAACCCCAGCACTAAAAAAACAAAACAAAAAAACCAACCAACCAAACAACAACAATAAAACAAACAAACAAAAAAAAAACACAGAGCAATATTACATAATCCAAATGTACATACAAGCATAGAATGCTACTAACATATTGGGTGAAAAATGAAAAACCTCCCTTTTTAAAAATGTAATATGTACATGTGTACAGATTGGGAATGTGGCTGGTTGGCACATGGTTAACAGGATGTGTGTATAAAGTGTGTGAAATGAAATGTGTGCTGGGGGATGGAAGGCTGGCGTAGTATTCTTGTGGAAGAACTACATAATGTCTTGAGAACTGAGGAGGAGCCCGGAGTGTGAATGAAATGTGATGCCTGGGATGGTAGGGGAAATTGAGTCTGGTAGGTGGGGTGGGGAGACATGGCAAGTGATTGTCAGGGGAAGTGAAGACATGCATATCTGTTGAGGGGGATGAGGACATAAAAAGGGTGACGTTTGCAAGGGGAGGAATGACACAGAGGAACCAGTGTGATGTGGAACATAAAGGTACAAGTCTATAGACAAATCTAGCAAAATATCAATATTACTCTTTACAAACCCCATGCCATATGAACATATGCACAAATATGCACATGTGAGTCAGCTATAATTTTAAAATCTTATTAAGAGAAACCCCAAAAGAACACTTAACACTTGTATTTTTACTTCATGGATATACACCTGCTATCACTGAATCTCTACAGCCAAATATGTTTTTAAGCCTTTCAACTCTTTATATCTTCTAGATATGAAATGGCTGCTGTAAAAATTAACTTTCCACCGAATGATGACTTAATTATAAGTTATTTCTTCAGTTAAGCAATTTTAACTGCAAAGTGACTTTAAAAGGAAGGAAAAAAACATTACCAGATAACCTCCTAAATCTCATTTCAGAATTTTCTAGGGGGCTGGGGATGTGGCTCGAGTGGTAGCGCGCTCGCCTGGCATGCGTGCGGCCCAGGTTCGATCCTCAGCACCACATACCAACAAAGATGTTGTGTCCGCCGAGAACTAAAAATATAAATAAATATTAAAAATAAAAAAAAATTAAAAAAAAAAAGAATTTTCTAGGATTCTGTATTAATACATATGTTAACCTTCTAACATTTGCCTTGAAGAAAACATGTAAAACCATGCTATTTAAGGTCACATAGTAATTAAAATTAAGATTAGATAGATACTTCTGACAGGGGAAAGTCTTCATAAGAAAAAAATTATAGAGACCTTAGTTACACTGAAAATTTTTATACATGTCAAAAAAATGAGAAGTCCATAGAACTTTTCAATTATTTTTATTTGTATACGTCTATTTGATAACTTCAAATTTTGAACACTTAGAATCAGCATGAACAAGAATTATTTTGTAACAAAGACCAGAAGTGGAGGAATGGGTTACTCATACCAACCTCCCCATGCGATTTATCTCATCCTGTGTAAAATTGATTTACACAGCTCCATAACTGCAGTATTTCCATACACTCCATTTTGTAGTCTCAGAATACTTTTCAGTTAAATTGATGCCAAAAGATAAGAAATAAATCTGCATTGTAAAGCTGAGCAATAGCAACTAATAAATTCGCATTTAGTTCCTTTAATATAAATCAGGAGCAATTTTCAGTAAACACAAACTAGTCACGATATTAGTAACAAATATAACAGTTCACATTTTTACTGAACACTTCCCATGAGCCAGGCCCTGCACTAAACATCTGAACATGCAATTTCACATTTATCTCAATAGGAAGTGTCACAGGTTCACGTTTTTTCACGAAGGACGATGATGCCACGATGACAGCTTGCACCAATCATTGTGTCCAAGCCTTTCTCTGGCGTTTTAGCCAGCATGACCCACTTGTATCATTGCTGCAGCTTACAGTGCTCGCTTGCACAATTTTACGGATGTTACAGGGGTATGCAGGCCTGACTCCCCCGCCCTGTCCCACCCACCCCGGGGGAAAAAAACAAAATAAAAGGTTAAGTCTTCATTACTCAAGAGACACGCCTGAAGACCGCACAAGACCGCACAGGGATAACGAAAGCAGCTGTGATCTAGGTCTGCATTAAAGCCCCCTCTCCTGATACTTAGAAGTGCCCCTCCAGGCCTAACTGCAGTAGAGCGGCCTCAGCCTCCTCCTCTTCCTCCTTGGCCTCCTCCTCGCGGATCTGCACCAGCAACTGGAAAAGGTTAGGGGCCGGCCCTTCCGCAGCCCCCGTCAGCCACAGCTGCCTCCGGATGGCCCCGCTGTGGTTGGCCCCGGCAATGACCTGCTCCAGGCGGGCCTGGTTCACGTTATCTTTATCAATGGCCCCCTTCTCCACCACCTTCTGCAGCAAAGGCTCCAGACGAATGACATAAGCAGATAGCTTTTCTCCTGGGTTCTGGTAAGTGTTCAGAAATCTGACCTGCGCATCCCTAGAGCTCTCCACGCTCCCAAACACCTGCTCAAGCGCCTTCAGGCATTCCGCGGTGGTTATGGCAGGGTTGTTGGTCTTGAGAATGCGAATAACATCAGCGGCGGGGCCTCTCAGACTCTCCATCAACCGCCGCCTCTTTTCTACATCAGACACCTGCCACTCTTCTATGACCTCATTAGTGTGCTCCAGCCACGGATCAAAGGTCTCCTCTCCAGGCCCAGGGATGTCCCTCCCCGAGAACAGAGTCAGCTTCTTGTACCATATGGACTCAACAAGAGGCTGAATAACATTATCCAAAATGTAGTTGAGCATCTCTGCTGGCATTTCTGGACCTGGGGCGGGAACAGGATTCTGAAACCCAAGGACACGGGCAACATCTTGCACAGTCCACCCCTCTCTAGCTAGAAAGAGGTGCAACCTTTCTAAAAACTCAGCATCGGAAGTGGGGGGCTTAAAGACCACTTTCCAAACTCCTCCTTTACCTGGCATCTCCCTGGGGATCGCGGCGTAATCTACCGCCCCAGTGAGCTCTAACAAGGCTGCTTTCGCATTTTCTTCCCTCCAGAACATTCTCCCAAGTACTCGATAGGGTACCTGAGGCATCGCAGCCTGGAGGGTCTCTTCGATTTCAGCCTCATCACAGTTTACTGGGATCCCCCAGACCAGCAGAGCTCTCTGGGAGTTCACATCCATCCCCCTGCACCAGTCTTCCAACAGTGTCATTGCCATTTCCCCAACTATCAAGGGCGCCAATTATACAAATAGGGATTAGACTGGCTCACCGTACTCTGCGATTTAGAACAATGCGACACACCCTCCAAGCAGGACAGAGGGCGACAAGCTTCACGCAATCACAATTAACAAATGACACCAAAGTTCTGCTCTCGCCCCTTTCCTGCCCCCAAAGTCAGTTGGCCGGCGGGTCCGCGCAGCTGGGTCTCGGGAAGCTCAGTCACGCGGCGGTCGCCATCTTGCGTCTCGGGTTGGGGTCCGCAGCCTGCAGCCGGGGCGTCGCGTCGTTACAGTGCAGAAGGCGAGAACGAAGGGCGGGAGGCGAAGGCACGAGCCTCAGGGCGGGGAATCGCCGAGTGTGCTCGCGGGGCGTGGCCGCTCCTCCTGCAGCCGCGGCAGCTGGGCGCTCAAAGGTGCTCTCGAAGTCAATCGGACGTTCGCGGTTGAAGCCTGGCCTTCAGGTGCGGGTCCTCGGCGGACCGAGGGAGAGACAATCCGTGACAGCAGCCGGGTCAGCCGGCGAGTGGCGGCTTCGCTGGTGCGGGGACCCTTCCGGGCAGCGAGGACTGGGGACCGAAGCAGCTAAGGCGCGGGAACAACAGAGAAAAGGGACTGGAGGCAGCGAAGGCGAGGGCGGGCAGAGGTGGCCCAGCGCCCGGGCCACAGCAGCTGCAGCAGCTCTGGCGCAGGGCGGGAGACGGCGCGTCCTTCTCACAACCTGCCGCTCCGTTACTGCCGCAGTGGAAGGCGGGGCCCGCCA